TTACTGCTGTCTCATAGTGTCTTACTGCTGTCACATAGTGTCTTACTGCTGTCCCATAGTGTCTTACTGCTGTCTCATAGTGTCTTACTGCCTGTCTCATAGTGTCTTACTGCTGTCCCATAGTGTCTTACTGCTGTCTCATAGTGTCTTACTGCTGTCCCATAGTGTCTTACTGCTGTCTCATAGTGTCTTACTTCTGTCCCATAGTGTCTTACTGCTGTCTCATAGTGTCTTACTGCTGTCTTACTGCTGTCTCATAGTGTCTTACTGCTGTCCCATAGTGTCTTACTGCTGTCCCATAGTGTCTTACTGCTGTCTCATAGTGTCTTACTGCCTGTCTCATAGTGTCTTACTGCTGTCCCATAGTGTCTTACTGCTGTCTCATAGTGTCTTACTGCTGTCCCATAGTGTCTTACTGCTGTCTCATAGTGTCTTACTTCTGTCCCATAGTGTCTTACTGCTGTCTCATAGTGTCTTACTGCTGTCTTACTGCTGTCTCATAGTGTCTTACTGCTGTCTCATAGTGTCTTACTTCTGTCCCATAGTGTCTTACTGCTGTCTCATAGTGTCTTACTGCTGTCTTACTGCTGTCTCATAGTGTCTTACTGCTGTCCCATAGTGTCTTACTGCTGTCTCATAGTGTCTTACTTCTGTCCCATAGTGTCTTACTGCTGTCTCATAGTGTCTTACTGCTGTCACATAGTGTCTTACTGCTGTCCCATAGTGTCTTACTGCTGTCTCATAGTGTCTTACTGCCTGTCTCATAGTGTCTTACTGCTGTCCCATAGTGTCTTACTGCTGTCTCATAGTGTCTTACTGCTGTCCCATAGTGTCTTACTGCTGTCTCATAGTGTCTTACTTCTGTCCCATAGTGTCTTACTGCTGTCTCATAGTGTCTTACTGCTGTCTTACTGCTGTCCCATAGTGTCTTACTGCTGTCTCATAGTGTCTTACTGCTGTCTTACTGCTGTCTCATAGTGTCTTACTGCTGTCCCATAGTGTCTTACTTCTGTCCCATAGTGTCTTACTGCTGTCTCATAGTGTCTTACTGCTGTCACATAGTGTCTTACTGCTGTCCCATAGTGTCTTACTGCTGTCTCATAGTGTCTTACTGCTGTCCCATAGTGTCTTACTGCTGTCCCATAGTGTCTTACTGCTGTCTCATAGTGTCTTACTGCTGTCTTACTGCTGTCTCATAGTGTCTTACTGCTGTCTCATAGTGTCTTACTGCTGTCTCATAGTGTCTTACTGCTGTCTCATAGTGTCTTACTGCTGTCCCATAGTGTCTTACTGCTGTCTCATAGTGTCTTACTGCTGTCTCATAGTGTCTTACTGCTGTCCCATAGTGTCTTACTGCTGTCCCATAGTGTCTTACTCCTGTCCCATAGTGTCTTACTGCTGTCTCATAGTGTCTTACTGCTGTCTCATAGTGTCTTACTGCTGTCTCATAGTGTCTTACTGCTGTCTCATAGTGTCTTACTGCTGTCTCATAGTGTCTTACTGCTGTCACCACACCTGTCACCACAACTGTCACTACACCTGTCACCACACCTGTCACCGATATGTTAAACACATCTCTAACCCTGTCCATGGAGGACACAAGAAAATGTATATATATGCTGGTTAGCATTGTAAAACATGTGGCCACGTCTGTGGTAAAATATGTGGTAAAATATGTAAAAAAAAATGTGTGGTAGAAAATAATAATTTAACAAAATTGTTTACACCCGTCACCCCCTTACGGTTCACGAGCCTATGAGAAAATAAAGCAAAAAAATACAAGATTCTCTCATCTCAAAATGGGTATTTTCCTTCTGTTTCCATTATCCAAAACTTCCAATAACTTCCAGATTTACCTAAACGTAGCAAAATAAACACACAACGGATAGACCCATAGATATGAGCACATATTAGCACATATGGGCACATAGTTTGGGCGGGTTTGCACCTGACAAGGAATCACTATTCCTGCCTCTCCAAGCACAAGGTTTTTCCCTCAATTCACCAGCCAACTTGCAATTTTTAGCTTTGCTTTATTTTCCTGCAAGATCTACACCACTTTACGAGTGAAGACGACGGTCCTGGCGGGTTGACAGCCTCGATAACTCGTTATCGTGCACGTGAGACGTGTTGACGTTCAACATGTCTCGTTCCCAGCGTCACTCGTGTTAATTTTCTACTTTCATTGTGGCTTGAACAAGATCACTGGAGTTGCAGAGTAGACACGTGTGAAAGTTAACCCCGAGGCACGGTGTGGCCGGGGGTGTGTGTGGCCAGGGGTGTGGCTGGAGGGCCACATGTGACATACATGTGAGGACACACACACACACACACACACAGGGGAACCCGGCAGGAGCAACACACACCTTCACTCGCACACAGTCTTGCTTGTACTGCCTGTCTGTGTGTGTCCCAGAGTCCAGCCTGGGCCCCGGGACCCTCCTCCCACCCCAGGGACCCTCCGGGGCCACCCCAGGGACCCTCCACCCACCCCAGGGACCCTCCAGGGCCACCCCAGGGACCCTCCAGGCTCGACCAGATGCACAGGTTCCATCCTGGAAACCTTTAAAACGTCTTAGTTTGAGACGGCCTCCTGGAGCATATGACGTCACCTGAGGCGTGTTAACCACAAGACCTGCCACCTCAACTCTTCACTTGCCTCTGAGTTACGTCTTGCTAACACACACACAATATCCAATGTAGTATCATGCAACAGGTGAAATCTTCAAGGAGTTACAGATTACATATATACAAATATATATATATATAAACAATGAAGACAGCAGTGAAACAAAGGGGCGAATATTTGTTGTATATATATTAATATAAGCTATCTGTACCTATATATAAATGCATATATAGAGATAATATAGCGTGTTAGAGGGTTATAGAGGTGATGGTCCGGGTGTACGATAGTACTGGGTGATCTGGGCGACGATCCAGGCTCCTGCTGCTGCCTCGCCATTGGTCAGTACACAGGCCCGGGTGCGGAGGTACGATAACCTCCACTCCCCGCCTTACATAACACCAGCAGGTTGCTGGCTTCATCAACGCTGAGGCTTCATCAACGCTGAGGCTTCATCAACGCTGAGGCTTCATCAACGCTGAGGCCTCATCAACGCTGAGGCCTCATCAACGCTGAGGCCTCATCAACGCTGAGGCCTCATCAACGCTGAGGCCTCATCAACGCTGAAGCCTCATCAACGCTGAAGCCTCATCAACGCTGAAGCCTCATCAACGCTGAAGCTTCATCAACGCTGAAGCCTCATCAACGCTGAAGCCTCATCAACGCTGAAGCTTCATCAACGCTGAAGCCTCATCAACGCTGAAGCCTCATCAACGCTGAGACTCGTTTCTCTCAAGTTCTCCTGACCAGACTTCAAAATATTTTAGTGTTAGAGAAATAAGATAGTTTCGTATCTAAGGCAGACGTGTCTAAGTTGTCTAAGACGGTTCTAAGGTTAGGTTAGGTTAGGTTAGGTTAGGTTAGGTTAGGTTTGGTTAGGTTAGGTTAGGTTAGGTTAGGTTTGGTTAGGTTAGGTTAGGTTAGGTTAGGTTAGGTTAGGTTTGATTAGGTTAGGTTAGGTTTGGTTAGGTTAGGTTAGGTTTGGTTAGGTTTGGTTAGGTTAGGTTTGGTTAGGTTAGGTTAGGTTAGGTTAGGTTAGGTTAGGTTTGGTTAGGTTAGGTTAGGTTAGGTTAGGTTAGGTTAGGTTAGGTTAGGTTAGGTTTGGTTAGGTTTGGTTAGGTTAGGTTAGGTTAGGTTAGGTTAGGTTAGGTTTGGTTAGGTTAGGTTAGGTTAGGTTAGGTTAGGTTAGGTTAGGTTTGGTTAGGTTAGGTTAGGTTAGGTTAGGTTAGGTTTGGTTAGGTTAGGTTAGGTTAGGTTAGGTTAGGTTAGGTTAGGTTAGGTTTGGTTAGGTTTGGTTAGGTTAGGTTTGGTTAGGTTAGGTTAGGTTAGGTTAGGTTAGGTTAGGTAGGTCTAAGGAGGGACTGACGTGTTTAGACACGCGGAGACATTTGTGCCTGAGAGCGCGGGCTAACGAGGCCATTCAGGCCAGGAAATATTAAACAAGGGGTCATGTGAAGGTCAGGAATGGCAATCAGCCGGTGTTTAATATGTTCTGTCGGTGACAGGCAGCCTGTGTGTGTGTGTATATACATGTTAGGTTTATATCTAGGTCCCATCCCTCCTCCCCCGCGGTCAAACTACTGACCTCATTAATTGCCTGATTAGTGGGGTAATTATTTATCGCTAGGTGAACAGAGGCATGAGGTGAAAGGAAACGCCCACTATACTGCCTTCAGTGGACCCCTACTGTCACCAGTGGACCACTACTGTCACCAGTGGACCACTACTGTCACCAGTGGACCACTACTGTCACCAGTGGACCACTACTGTCACCAGTGGACCACTACTGTCACCAGTGGACCACTACTGTCACCAGTGGACCACCACTGTCACCAGTGGACCACTACTGTCACCAGTGGACCACTACTGTCACCAGTGGACCACTACTGTCACCAGTGGACCACTACTGTCACCAGTGGACCACCACTGTCACCAGTGGACCACCACTGTCACCAGTGGACCACTACTGTCACCAGTGGACCACTACTGTCACCAGTGGACCACCACTGTCACCAGTGGACCACTACTGTCACCAGTGGACCACTACTGTCACCAGTGGACCACTACTGTCACCAGTGGACCACTACTGTCACCAGTGGACCACCACTGTCACCAGTAGACCACTACTGTCACCAGTGGACCACTACTGTCACCAGTGGACAACTACTGTCACCAGTGGACCACTACTGTCACCAGTGGACCACTACTGTCACCAGTGGACCACCACTGTCACCAGTGGACCACTACTGTCACCAGTGGTCCAGACCCCTGTACCATGTTGTCCTCCGCCTCTGGACTTGGGCGTCTAATAATGTGTGTGGACTTGCGAGTGGACTTGCTCGTGGACTTGCTCGTGGACTTGCGAGGTCCGGACCTGGCGAGTATTATCGCGCCAACAGATGGGAAAGTTGAGGCGGGAGCCCTTCACTCCACCACTGGCTGTCTTCACTGGCGGTCAAAAAGCGAAAGTAACACGACAAGTCTTCACTACACAAACGCAAGAGTTCCCTCAGGATCCAGGGCAAGCCAGGCCACTTGCCGCGGCGGGGAAGGACCTATAGGAAATCCGGTAGTGTATCCTGTGTGTGACATCTCGAATGATGTCACACAATACAACTCCAATTTGTATGACACAAGGTTGTATTTTTCGAGCCCCTCCCCCTCACAGGACGACGGGTGACTGGTCAGCAACGACGTCACTAGTCCTTTGATCATCTTGTTTACACAAGAAGACAACCACATTCAAGTTGTTTACTTGGGAAAGTTCGGGATTAAGTCACAATAACGAGGCTGATGATATGCTAACACCACTTGATAATGGTCCAAGACGGACCGAAACGTCGTCGTTTCCCCATCCTCTGACGTGCGGGTTGGTCATCATCTTATCTTACGGACTACGTATATAAAGCTGTAATCTTCACTCAAGGGCATTTGAGAGGCAATGTGTGGAGGCGGGACCACACCGCTGCGCGCCTCGTGACGCAGCTGTTCTCCCACTCCTTCAGCGGAATCATAATTTCAGCTGACTAACAGCTATAGTGAGAAAAGGAAAAAGATGCAAACTAGAATGAGACCGGCGGCGCTCCCTCTATAGGTGGAGAAAAAACAGCAGAACATCTCCGACGCTGAACTCAATCCCATCCACGACGACGTCGGCGGTGTAGGGACATAGAAATGGTCGAGCTCAAGCTGCGAGAGTCATGCACACTCCAAGAGCGGCACAGAAAGCAAAAAGGCCACAAGTGAAATAGAGACGAACCAGAAATACTTTTTCTCGTATGTAAAAGCAAGTACAAAAACTGTATCCAGCATTGAGCTCTTGCACAAGAGTGACGGAACTTTCACAGATGACAACAAAGAAATAAGTGAAATACTGAGACTTCAGTACGACTCTGTTTTCAGTGAGCCCCTGAACACACTGACGATCGGTGATCCAAATGAATTCTTGATGAACGTGACCCCAACATCTAGCCATACATCAGACGTCACCCTAACCCCGCTAGACTTTGAAGTAGCCATAGACAGCATAGCCAGGCACTCTGCACCAGACCCACACTCCTGGAATTCTGTATTCACCAAGAAGTGTAAAGCACCACTATCACAGGGCCTAAACATCTTTAGGAGACGGAGCCTAGCTACTGGCGTCATCCCTGATATACTTAACACAGCGGAGATCGCGCCACTTCACAAAGGAGGTAGTAAAGCAGATGCAAAATATGATATATCAATAACTCTAACCTCACACTTTATAAAAATCTTTGAAAGAAGTGCTAAGAAGTAAGATAACATATCACATGGAATCCCAACATCAACATAACCCTGGCCAACACGGGTTCAGAACAGGGCGCTCCTGCCTCTCACAGTTGCTGGACCACTATAACATGACCTCAGGTGCCGTGGAAGACAAGCAGATGTAATATACACACACTTTGCAAAAGCCTTCGACAAATGTGACCAAGGTACAGGGCCTCGTAGCCTGGTGGATAGCGCTCAGGACTCGTAATTCTGTGGCGCGGGTTCGATTCCCGCACGAGGCAGAAACAAATGGGCAAAGTTTCTTTCACCCTGAATGCCCCTGTTACCTAGCAGTAAATAGGTACCTGGGAGTTAGTCAGCTTTCACGGGCTGCTTCCTGGGGGTGGAGGCCTGGTCTAGGACCGGGCCGCGGGGACACTAAAGCCCCGAAATCAACTCAAGATAACCTCAAGAAGGTGTTGTTGCACACACAATGTGTGCAAAATGAATTACTGGTAAGGTAAGGAGATGAATCTTCAACTTCCTAACGAACAGAACGCGGAGTGTAATAGTCAACACAGTCAAATCTGGATCATCTGAGGATCCGGATTTTCAAGATACTGTGAAAAGTTCAGTCCACCCAAGGTACCGTGCTTGCTGAAGTACTTTTTCTCATGCTAATATCAGACACAGACAAGGACACAAACTACAGCACTGTATCATCATGTGCAGATGACACCAAGATTGTCCTGCGAGTAGACAATATAGAGGACACGACAAACCTCCCATCTGAGGATACTCGGGTCTTTCAATGGGCCACAGATAATAATATGATGTTTAATAAAAATAAGTTCTAACTTCAATTTTTTCTATTAAAAAAACGAAAATGTATAAACGGAAACCGTATATAAAACACAGTCAAATTACATTATACAACGAAAGATCAATGTAAAGTATCTCGGAGTAGTCATGTCAGAAGACCTTACATTTACAGAACACAATAAAGTTGCTGTCACGACTGTAAGAAAAATAACAGGTTGGATAAGAACCTTCCAAACAAGGGCCGTCATACCAATGATGATACTTTACAAGACACTAGTGCTCTCTAGGGTGGAATATTGTAGCACTCTAACAGCCCCATTCAGAGCCGGATAAACTGCTGACCTGGAGAGCGTGCAGAGATCCTTTATCGTTTGAATCTACGATAAGTCATCTTAATTATTGGGACCGATTAAAAGTTCTAAATCAGTATTCTCTAGAGCGCAGGCGAGAGAGATGCATAATAATCTTCACGTGGAAAATATTAGAGGGGCTGGTCCCAAATCTAAACACAAATAACATCACATGAGACCAGGAGGCATGGCAGGATGTACAGAATACCCCAGTTGAAAAGCAGAGGTGCAACAGGTACTCTGAGAGAGAACTCTATCAACATCAGAGGCCCGAGACTGTTCAACACGCTTCCACTACACATAAGGGGCATAACTGGCCGACCCCTCACAGTGTTCAAGAGAGAACTACCAACATCAGAGGCCCGAGACTGTTCAACACGCTTCCACTACACATAAGGGATATAACTGGCCGACCCCTCACAGTGTTCAAGAGAGAACTGGATAAACACCTCCAAAGGATACCTGATCAACCAGGCTGTGATTCACACGTCAGCCTGCTAGTAGCCGCGTCCAACAGCCTGGTTGACCAGTCCAGCAACCGGAAGTAGTGAACACACTACCGGGTATGACCCCTCTGCCCCCACCAATGCCCCGATCAGTAACATGGATCCAGTAGGAACTACACATACCCACAATAGAATGAGAACTTCAGAACAGTGTGTCGGAACTAATCCAGATAAATCAGAGTACGTATCTAGCATAACATAAGCCAGGCTTAATGTAATACCTGGAGCTGCAGTGTTTGTTGTGTGAGTTGTGGAGTGTTGTCTATGATTTATGACACACACCAATGTACCAAATAGTGGACAGTGTGATGAACAAAATGCGCACACTTTGTACATGACGCACAGTGTGTGACCACGAAGCCTACTAGTACACTGGGTGATGGCTTGGTTAGGGGGAGGGATTTCATGACCACACACCACAAGATGAGGAGACGACGACGTTTCGGTCCGTCACGACGACGTTTCGGTCCGTCACGACGACGTTTCGGTCCGTCACGACGACGTTTCGGTCCGTCACGACGACGTTTCGGTCCGCCACGACGACGTTTCGGTCCGTCACGACGACGTTTCGGTCCGTCACGACGACGTTTCGGTCCGTCACGACGACGTTTCGGTCCGTCACGACGACGTTTCGGTCCGTCACGACGACGTTTCGGTCCGTCACGACGACGTTTCGGTCCGTCACGACGACGTTTCGGTCCGCCACGACGACGTTTCGGTCCGTCACGACGACGTTTCGGTCCGCCACGACGACGTTTCGGTCCGTCACGACGACGTTTCGGTCCGTCACGACGACGTTTCGGTCCGTCACGACGACGTTTCGGTCCGTCACGACGACGTTTCGGTCCGTCACGACGACGTTTCGATCCGTCACGATGTAACAAACTAGGCTGTTGTAAGAATTATCCAGAGTGGTTTATCGACAAAAGAGAATGGGAAGCTGAGCCGCATGGTGACCTGACCCCCAGGGGGATTCGCGGTGGAAATAACCGACGCGTTGTTCATAGCTGCGTATAATGAATCATCCTATAGTATTCAGTAAATTAGAGAAAATTAGCCTTTATTCATTTTGCATTAAAATTGTATTGTATAATAGTACTGGATACAATATCAAGAGTATTCTAATTATTGAGTTTAAGTCACCATCAGTGACGTCACGAATCGGATCTAACTTTTAAGGCGGAGTGACCGGCGGTCATAGGTCAGCAGGGTTGACATGTCTAATATTTCTCAAAGTTTTATTAACCATTTTGGGGATCGGGAACAGCTCTGCCGTTAGATGTTTGTAATTCAATTCAGTAAAATAATTCAACCAGTCTGGATCAATTAAGTACAACAGAGGTTAATTGTTATAACTTAAACCTGGCTAGTAACTTGGTAAAACTTTGACTAGGCGGAAGGATACAATGTTCTGTCTGGGGGAGACCAGACAAGGAAAAGATCAGTGTGGTCACGGAAGCAGCTGGGATAAGAGGTCAACATCTTACCTCTCCCCTAGACCAGCCAAGACATCTAGCTGGTCGCCCAAGGTATAGTTGCTATTGTTAATTATAGAAATAGTCTTCTCATTTGCCACTCAGGTCAAGTAGGGAGTGTTAAAAATAATAGGGAGTGAACATATTTAGATTTTGTTTTAGTTTTCTTTTAATAAATTAAATTTGTTATTAATTTGCATTTTATTGTTTCCATGTGTTTTATGTGTATACTTGTCCTGGTCACGTGGTCCACACGAGGCAGAGTTGCATTGGGCGCCGATTCTAACATCGAATCGGAATTATCATTACCGTGTAATTTATTCCACACTCAAGGTCATCGTTTATAGTGGGGATCAAGCCCCTAGGTTGATTAATTAGCGTGATCGATCCAGACCTCGATCATTGCTCTTGTATTACTGGTCTGGTGGTGGCAGCAGAGGTGACTCTAGGGTTTTGTTCAGAGCTTAGGTCACGTCATACTGGGTGTAGAATCCTAAGTCGGTCAATCGTCTTAGGACCACGTGGCGTGGAGTTGGCTTTGGTAAAA